ATGCTGATGCGACGGAGGCCGATGTGAGTGAGGCGGACCTGGACCAGGAGGATCAGGAGAAGCAGCCGATGACCGGGGGAGGAGACCGAGCTGCGGACGCTCCGTCAGCTCCTCCAGCGGGCGGAGAGGTGGCGGAGAAGAACGGCGCCGTGAAGCTGAAGATCCCCGAGGACGCGGAGGAGGTGAAATTCACCGGGCTGAACAAGGAGGAGCTGCTGAAGGTGGCGGGGACCCCGGGGTGAGGGGGACCGCACAGGCCCGGAAACACACACGCACATTTAATAATGCACAGAGTCGAGTGATGATTGTTATCCCAACAACAGAGACAACCCCGAGACAACTGTCGGTAAAGACAGGGGAGACAGGATGTGTAGCGCCCACACCTGGGCTGTGTGTAATCGTTTGTGTCTCTTTGTTGTATCCTGGTGTCATTTGACTGACTTTCTACCAAGAGACATGTCCAGCCTGCATGTAGCAATTAGTAGCTTATGGGCAGTGAAGGAGGGGGTTTATTTGTTGATTTTATTTACTGTAATACAGAAAATATACAGCCTGCACTATTTACATCTTCTTCTACATTGTTCTTCTACATCTACATGACAAAACAACTGCAGTGCAGGCAGCATCTTCTTGTCATTGTTGTTGGTCACTTTCAAAGAGAGGAACTCAACAGACACACACTCATAAAAGCCTTGTTCCAGAGCTCCTCATGGCTAAAACCTTCTCAGGGGACTGTGCTCCTTCTGTCACTGTAGTTGTGTAAGTTCCGATGGACCGAGGGACATTTTCCACCTTTGTAGGCAAAGTAAAGTTGTGTTCTATGAACATGTCCTGTGTTCAGAGTCACGGCCTTGTTGGGATGTGAATTCTCAATGTTTCCTGCTCTTCTTGCTGTTTTCTCAGCTGGGTGAGGACCCGCTGGGCGCTGCTGGTGGTGTTCTGGCTCGGCTGGTTGGGGATGTTGGTCGGAGCCATCCTCATCATCCTGCAGGCTCCTCGCTGCCGAGAGCTGCCCACCACCAACTGGTGGAATGACGGCCCCCTGTACCAGATCGGGAGTATCCAGGCCTTCACCGACTCCCACAACCTGAAGGGTGAGAACATGAAATGATGTTCAGACAGGATTAGTATCATCTTTAAGGTTCAGCGTTTATACAGTACATCTCTCTGATTCAGAAAAGGCATCCTTCATCTGTCAGAATCATGGTTTGACATTTAGCCGAAGTGAGTCACAGTTTGAAGTCCAGAGAAAGCAGGAGAAACTCTTCTGACATGAAAGGTTCCCTGTGATTTTACCTCCTGTCCCTGATTTTGAGTAAAGTCCCTTTGAAAGGCTCAACATGAAGTTCTTGAGTTTGTTTGTTTTTTTGCCAGACATTAAGATAAATAAGGACCTGTGGCTGTAGTGGATGGTTAAGGGAAAGCTCCACTGGTAAGATTCATGAGATGATGTTACGGTCCTATGAAGGAGATTGGACCCACACGCAGACACCGAGGCTGACAGATAGTGTGTAGCCCAAAACAGGAAAGTAATCCAAACACAAGTGAACTCTGGTAAAGCACAAGCAAGAAGGCTCAAACGCTTACTGAGGAAAGTCTCCAGGAAGTGAACACAGGTGACCGAAGTCATGTGACGAGGAACCGAAGCCAAGGCAGTCCAGGGACGACTAGGGGCTGAGGGGGTGACAGTTCGTAGAAGAGCCAGGAAAGTAACTGAGGGCAGACGCCACCAGGCCTGGGACTGTGACAGATAACTACTGTGAACTTGTGAGGTGTACACATGTTAGCGTGGCATGGTCCAAACAATAACGTCATCACCTGTTTTAACAGGGACAGTGAATGAAATTTTTTCAAAATGTTGGACTTCTCTGTGCATGGTGGGGCAGTGGTTAGCACTGTCGCCTCACAGCAGGAAGGTTTGAGCCATGCGGAGTCTGCATGTTCTCCCTGTGCCCGTGGGGGATCTGTCCAGGTGCTCTGGGTTCCCTCCTGCGGTCCACAGACATGCAGCTTAGGTTGACTGGCGACTCTAAATTGCCAGTGGGAGTGTGTGTGGTGGTTTATCTCTAAGTATCAGCCCTGAGATAGACTGACAACCCGTCTAAAGATGATGGATGGATGAACTTCTTCGTGTGTTATTTGTGTTGTCGACTGCTGAACACTCGAGTTTATTCTGTCATTCAGGTCTGGAACAGAAGATCGGCAGCTTGTTGGAGCTTAAGGTCAAAGGTCTGGTGGTCGGACCGATCCACGTCGCTCCACACAATGACACCATGAGCCTGAGATTCGAGGAGATTTCCCCTGAGGCTGGAAGCCTGGAGCAGTTTAAAGGTTTCGTCCAGGCCGCTCATAAGAAGGGTGAGAGACATGTCAACAACTACTCTGTAAACATAGCAGAACTTTCAACAGACCCACTGTGCAGAATCTGATAGAGGAAAATTAAGTTATGAATTTCAACTCAAAAATGTCTCAACTTTCAGATTAGTTTGATGTTTCACAGGTAATATAGGCTCTGATGTGCACTTTAAAAAGTACAAACTGAAATACCAGTACTTCAAACATAATGTATTTAGCTACAATAACAAAGTAATCTACCTATCTACCTCTCACAGGCATTTCTGTGGTTCTGGACCTGACCCCAAACTACCAGGGGTCATCTGGACCCTGGTTCTCCTACAGTAGTGTGAAGTATGTCGCTGAGAGGCTCAAGGTGAGGACTCTGCAGAGTAAACTCGCACCTCACGGAGGAGATTAAGATACTTTAGATACTCAGAGACCAACTGCTTTATCTTAATTCAGCTGAGTCCTAACCCAGTGACACATGAACACAGACATGAAACACATTGATCTCACTCAGTGTAACATCCACTTCCTGAGGATCTCATCACCTCCGACGTCCCTCCTGAACAAACCTCCATAAACCCACGTAGAAACCAGAGGAGCAGAGGCTGTAGAACCTGCCTGAGAATTGTCCTGTTTCTAACTTCCCTCCAGCTTCACAGTGATTCAGTGACAGTTGTGTGTCTGTCCACAGGGACACTGCACACTGCTGCTCATTCTGCTGCTGGCAGAGCATGATTATCCATTAAATCAAACACCAAAACAAAAGGTGCACAGTGATAAATGCAGAGGCTTATAAAACCTGAGGTAACCGATTACCTGGCACTGGCTGCAGCTGTCTGTCTCTCTGTCCTCAGTCTGCTCTGGTGTTCTGGCTGAATCAAGGTGTGGACGGCGTCCAGCTATCGGGGGTGGAGCTTGTAGCCAGCCAGGAGCCGACTCTGTGGTCCGACATCCGAGCCATCGTCCAGAACGGGACGGACAGCAGGAGGTCAGAGACACTGTCCAGCTGAGACCACATGTGAATGTCCGATACCTCCAGAAAAGCTAAAGACATACACATACGTCATAGTTAAAGTACTGGACTACATTATATTCAGAGGTATTCCTAATATTCTGGCCCTCATGTATGTTGCTGGGGAGGACAAGAATATAGACACCTCTGTATAATGTGAATTTATACATTTATGACAGTTTTACCAACAACTGAAACATTTTGAGCTTCATACACACAGATGTTAAGGTGAACATGTTGCATTGAAATGTGTACAGCTGTACAGGCGTACCTAATAAAGTGGCCAGTCGGTGTATTTGAGATCTAGCCACGATGACCTATTCAAAACAGGATAAGAACACACCATAAGAGCAAAACACACGAGGCTGTGGTACAAGTAAAATACAAGTCAGGGAGCTTTACCCCCAACACGGGCTGATAGCATGATAGTAGCACAGCCTCAGAAGCATCATGAGAAACTAGGAAAAGCTAAAAGGAGAGCGACACTTCTGTTCTGTACCTCTGCCTTTTGTCCAAATTTCACAGGAGTTGTGTGATGCTGGCACCAGGGCTGGATGTCCACACTGTGGCCTTTAACAGCTGGACTGTGGCCAGCCTGCACACGGCCTGTACGCGGCCTGCACACGGCCTGCAGTGACCTCCCAGCAACTTGCTGTCAGATAAAGGCAAAATGCCAAAACCAAAAGTCACTATCATCTGTATTTTATTCGGTTAATTCCTAAAAGACCCACAGTAGATCAAAGACAAGACGTCCGAGCACAGCTACAATAACAAAAAATAAAAACCTGTGTATATACACTGTATATGTGCTGCGTCTGTACTTATCAGCAAGGTGTCTGCACTTCTCAAACCTATTTCATAACATAATCAAATCCATAGTTGCTGTGTTTTCCAGAGTCCTGATCGGCGTCACAGAGCACTCCTCGGCTGAAGACGTGTCCTCCCTCCTCTCCTCCAGTGGTGTCGACCTGCTGATCTCCAGGGTCCTCCGTCAAGACAAGGACGCCACGGAGTATGCTCAGTCCATCCAGCTCTTGTATTCATCCCACAGCCAGACCAACCTGGCCTGGAGCCTGGGGGGGCGGACTGAGGGTCACCTGGCATCGCTGGTGGGCCCGACTCTGGTCAGACTCTACCAGCTTCTGCTGCTGACGCTGCCTGGAACACCGGTGTTCAACTACGGAGACGAGCTTGGACTGACAGACAAGGTGAGGACACGTGTCGCTGAGTCCTCAGAAACATATTTACAGTAGGCTGTGTTCACATCACAGCTGAAGTTTCTCCAAGTGCCTCAGATCTGATGCTTTCACAGAAGTTTGAACAAAGCAAGTCAGAGGATTTCAGGGCCACTTACTCGTAGGTTAGAGCTCAGCGCATTCACACTGACCAGGAGGTGGAGCCTAACCCTGGCTATTTCTAGTTCTAGGCAGTGTAGGGTCACTGTTTAAAAACATCAGAAAACAAATGAACTTCTCTAGATTATCATCTGAATTTGCGTTACACAAGTAACTGCAGCAGTAATAGGGGACACCAGGGCAGTTGTAACATTTTTTCCTTTTTCCCTTATAACTCACAGACTACCTGACATTTACTATTCATCTTTTGATATAAGAAACATATTTGTGCACTAATTAATACTAAAATGTATATATTGCCCTAATAAGGATAAGACTATAGTATTACATTTAATGCAAGTGTAGTCAGAGTGTAATACTGAAGAGGTGATATTAACACCTTTGAAATGTTTAACACTTTAATTAAAAAACAATGGCAGAATGATTTGCCATATGAAGACTATCTGATGGTCTTATACAAAGTCACATGACAAACACCATGTGACCACAGTGTTTGTTACAAATGCCCCTGATCGTACAGCCAGGTTAGTCCGTAAACTAGCTGTTAGCCATATTAGCATAGGTTATTTATGCCACTAACCTATAGATAAAATTTACAGTCATCTAAACTTCAGGCAGCAGAGGAAAAATACTGTACCCCCACAATCATACCTCTAAATCACAATGCTTTTGAAAACATCTGCTGTGGTGAATGATTCAGCACCTTTTTTATTGTTAATGGTTTATATATTTCTCCTCTTACATCTGGTGTTGACAGTTTATCATCTCTGTTGAAGGGCACCAAGTTTCCCAAGATGCTCTGGGACTCTGATGAAGAGCTGAATGGGACTCTGCAGGTAAACAACACAAACATCAACAACAAAACATTTGTGATATTGCACAGGCACACAAACTGTGACCTGAGAGCATGAGAAAAGAAACAGAACAAAAACTCTAAACGATATAAAGTCAGCACTACCTGTTGGCTGCACTACCAGCCGTCACTATATCTGTAACAAGTACCAGCAGCAGTAGTGACAGGAGTAGTACACCTAGTACCAGCAGCAGTAGTGACAGGAGTAGTACACCTAGTACCAGCAGCAGTAGTGGTAGTGATCGTGTCCTCTCTCTACGTACAGGAGGAGAGGGCCGAGTGTCTGTCCTGTCACCGTTTTTTCCGCAGTCTGAGTGAACTGCGAGGTAAAGAGCGCTCCCTGCTGTTCGGAGACTTGGTCCTCCTCTCTAACTCCTCCTCCTCCCTGGCATACCTGCGGGTCTGGGATCAGAGTGAGCGTTACCTGGCCGCCTTCAACTGGGCAGAGGAGGCGGCAGTGCTGCGGCTGAGCGGGGCGGCGTTGCCCCAACAGGCTGTGG